TCTGCCCCTACTTTCTTCCTCGGCATGAGCTGGTGGCAGGGGGCCTTGCCCAGGGTTTCGCAGCAGTGGGTGCCAGGGCCATCCCCAGCCCGCCCCCCTGCCCCGCGTCCATGCTGCAGCAGAGCACTGGCGCCGGGTCCCACAGGAGCCAGAGGAGCCTGAGGGTCACGGTGGGCTCTCACTGGCCCTGTCACCTGCAGCTGCCAGTGGGGAGTGTATGGAGCCCTGCTGTCCCAAGACGTCAGAGGGGAGAGCGAGAGAAGGGGGGCCCTGGCTACTCAAGGCTTCCCAGTGGGTTCCTGGGGCGGTTTGAATGGTACAGTTGTATGAGGCTCCTCAAGCCTCTTCTCCAGAGGCCTCCATTTGCCCATCTGTAAAGTGGGCACTCAGTATATAACTGACCACCTATCGTGCGCCATGGTCCTAGGGATGCGGGTGACCAAGCAGAGGCTCGCCCTCAGGGGACACACAGTCCTGTCCTGCCCTTAAACCCACTGGTCACCTCCTCATCACAGTTGGCAAGACTCACGTGCATGGGGGGGGTGCCTGCTGCCAGAGGACAGTGGAGGTGGGGAGGGCTCCATGGCAGGACTTAGCCCATGGTCAGCCTCGTGGTCGCCTGTGAGGGCACAGCCTCGCCCCTTTCCCCACCTCCTTCCTCCTGGCCTCCCGCCCGCGGCCTCCCTGACCACCCACAGCTGGCCTGCTGCTTGCTCTGAGCTCCCTTGGTCCCTAGGCTGCTCTCTTGGCTGATGGGGTGTAAGGATCCTCCTTGTGGACCCTGGTCCCAACCCCTGCTCTGCTGTCGGCCTGAGGACCAGGGCTGCAGGCCGCGTGGTCACTGCTCTCTCCAGCACTCAGCACAGCAGGACCAGGTGGACACACTGTGGGGAGCCATAGCTGTGCCCCGAGAGAGGGGGCTGGTTCTTCTCCTGAGTCAGGACAGTCTCAACCCCGGCAGGGCTGCCGGGTCAGGTCTTGAGGGTCCTGTGCTTGAGGTAACCTGGGGTGGTGGGGTGACCACGTTTGGTGTTTGGGGACCTTGAAGAAGGAGATGGCAGCTGCGAGCGGGTTGCTGGCCTCAGCCTGTGGGCTCCGGCTTGTACGATTGTGTTACTCTGCATTTCAATCTTGTCAGCGAAATCCATTGTACAGAGAGCCTCAGCTCCGCAGACCAGGGACCCTTCCTGTGGGCGAAAAGCGGAAGAGAGGAATATTCTTTTTTGAAATATTGGCAGGTGACGTGGCTTTGGGGCTGGGGTGGGAGGACAGAGCGCCTCCCTGGACTCCCCCGACCCACTGTCCCACCCCTCCCCCCCGGCCTCCATTTAACTCTGAAATAGCTTTAATTAGAAATGTGCCGGAGTGTTCACAGACTAAATTACTGTATTGCAGTTCGTATTTTCTTTCTCATGCCGGCTTTAAAATTTCATCAACACAGCTGCTTCCTTCGCGATGATTCATCCCGAGACTCCGCACTCGTTATTATTTTTCCTGCGGATTCTCTGTGCCCTGCCGGCCTGGGGTGGGGGTGGCTGTAATTGACGCTGGAGCCTCCGGTTAACTCCCCTGCTGGGCTGATAAATGGAGCCTCCATTGTGTGCTGTGAGCCAGCCTTGCAAAAGAGCAAGAAGCCTAGTGATGCTCACTCACTTAGGCCCCAGGGGCTGGCGAGGGCCCCCTCCTCCTCGCCCCTGTGCCCAACACTCCCCATTCTGCCAGCTACCGCAGGGCTCTGAAAGTGCCAGGGTTTACACCAGGCACAGGGAGGGAAACTGAGGCCCGTATGCAGGATTTCTGACGTGGACGCTGTGTTACTCCTTTGCCGGGGCCGCCAGGCCGGGCAGCTGAACCATCTCATAGTTCTGGAGGCTGGAAGTCCAAGGTCAACCATCAGCAGGGCTGGTTCCTCCCAAGGCCCCCCTTTTGGCTGCAGATGGCTGCCTGCTTCCTGTGTCCCCACTCCGTCTCCCCTCTGGGTGTGTCTGGGCCCCATTTCTCCTTTGTATGAGGACACTGGCCGTGCTGGGCCCATCCAGCACCCTCATTTCAGTGTGATTATGTTTGAAGACCGTCTGTCCAGATGGTCCCCAGTCTGAGGTCCTGGGGGTTAGGACTTCAACAGATGGTATTTCGGGGGGCGGGGCACGATCTAGCCCCCAGCAGTGGCTGAGGAAGTGGGCTTCGGTGCTGGCAGAGTCTCAGTGCAGATGAGCCTCACTCCCGCCTCACCTGCTGTGTGACTTTGGACAGTCCCTTCATCTCCTGGCACCTCTGCTTCCTCACCTGTAAAACAGGGATATGGGGATGCCCAGCACAGGTGCTCGCGAAGCCCCCGGGGGGTGCCTGCCCTTCCCGGGGTCACACAGACCCAGGAGTTTGCAAGGTCTGGCTGGCCGGCCCCCTTGGCGGGCAGGTTGGGTCTGGCCCATCTCCCTGGGTGAAGTTTGGGCTGTCCTGCGCTGGGAGGCATTTGCTCAAGCTTCCCCGGGAGCTGGCCTCACAGCAC